ACAAACCTTAACATTTACGAAGTGTTTGGGATTGCTGTCCAGACCCACACTTCTTAAGCATTCCTGAGTTTTCTTAAACAGAATAGAAGGCATTCTGATCCACTGCTCACTTAGAAACATAAAAAATGGTAAATGTGACTGCCTGGGAACATCTTAGCCACTTAATTCTGGGAGAATTTGTCTTGCAAAGTTCAACTGGCTGTTTCTGGTCCTGTACCCTTCTGGGGTTCAGGCTGACCTCTACTCAGCTAGTGTGGATGTCAGCATACTATTTCTGTAAAGGGTCAAAGAATAAATCCCAGTGAGATAGCGCATACCTGTAATTCCAACAATGAAGAGGCGTTTGAGGCCAACATGAACTGCATAGTGAAAGCATGGACGTTTAAAAGAAAGAAAGAAAAAGGCCAAAGAATAAATATTGGTTCCACAGGTCATAAGTTTCTTTCACATATTATTCAATTCATTCATTCTAGCAACAAACACCCACACAAAGATGAAGATGGTTGTAAACCGTCAAAATGTCATTTACAGAAACAGTCAGCAAGGCAGAGGTGACCACAAGGCCTAATTGGCCAACCCCTACTCTCGGTAAGGAAGAGACAATGAGGACAAGCATAAAACTACAGAGAAGGAAGCTGATGCACGGCGCAGCTCTCACACCTCCTCTGTACAGAGCCAGAACAGTCACACTCTCGAAACACAAGCACAGAAAATACAACCAAGTGGTAGCTGTGGGGTCCTCAGGTGAAGCCTCAACACTGGGACGGTTAAAGAAACAGGAGCTCAAGTGCAGCCCATCCTGTAACACGCAACGAGGCTCATCCGAAAAACAGCATTGACTGGGTGAACATATTTGCTCATTTCCACTCTTCAGATCATTTATAATCTGTTTTTTTTTAAACAATTATTGTATACAACCTTTTAAAAAATCCTAACCCCGAAGACATATCTGCTCTTTAAAAAATGATGTTTAGCTGGTACAGAAAAGCACTGATTTACAATTAATAAAACATAACACAAATTTTTATTTGAATATATTGATAAATAATAAAATGTATCAATACTTTCCTCAGACTTTTGCCAACAAACAGCAAGAGGAACAATCCTGAAGCACAAACAATACCATCTGACATTTTTCTAGAAATGACATGAATTCTAACTATACTTTCATGCTCATGAGCAGGGGGAGATTGACAGACACCAAGTGCTAGACAGCATCTAGAATCTCAGTAGAAACTGAACTGGTGTCTTTCACCTACCCAATGTTGTACACTAAACCAGCTCCATTCCCCTCTGGGCTCACAGCTAAACCCAACTTCTTAACAGTTCATAGTAAGGATGGGACCTGATTGAACTCTGACCAAAGGGACATAGGCAGACTCATGACTCTAGTCCTAGCATGGGACAACACACTATGACGATGGCCCCCACCTCTCCCTGTGTGCCTCACTGACCTCTGAGGGGAAATAACAATGGGGACATTAAAAGAAGGAAGAAGCCCAGCTCCAGAGAACTGTGGGGGCTGAGAAACTCCCAGGGAGCACCCACCCCATTCTCTGAGAGTGTCTTGAACAAAGCTATTGAGGCTGCAGTTGATAACCCAGCCCACCTACCAGGTAGACCCTAGAAATATTTGCTCTTGTCATAAATCTTACGTATTAGTATAAGACTCAGCTTTCTAAATTAGTGCAGGGGGACCTAACCCAGGACCTTGTGCACACTAGGCAATCACCCTTGCCAATGAGCTACATCTGTTCTCCTTTATTCAAACTTTTCAATTATGAAATAAGATCTCATTAAGTTGCCCTCCTGAGTGCTAGGCTAACAGGTATATGTTGGCACACCTGGTTACTCTCTCAAGAGTTTAAATAGTGTTCATGTAAAAATGTACACATCAACCTTCTTGGATCCATTTTCAGTCTATGAGGAAGATCTCCACACCTCACACTGCGCTGGAAACAGGAGGCAGGCAGAAGTAAAAGAACACTTCTAAGACCTGTTTTGCTATCATGTGCATGTTCAAAACTTCTAATGTGGACTGCCTACCAAGCAGAGCACTGGAGATCAAGGTCACAAAGATGAATGAAATGCAAGCCCTGCCCTTCAATTACTCATGACAGTGGGAGGAAAAGGCATCGAAGCTATCCCTTCAGAAGACGAGAATGGACCAGAAACCCGAGCTCTGGAAGCCAATGTTTCTCCCTAGCAGAGCGTGAAAGGCTTCCGGGAAGCAGGGCAAGTCACTAGGACGAACCCTGAAGGAGTGAGTGGACTCTGCTCAGTCGCTCAGCACGTGGCCTGACTGACTAACTTCCTCATCAGGTTTCCACAAGGCTGTAGGAACAATTTCAAGTGTATTTTGTGGTTTCCAGTGTGGATTTTTCTCGGACAGATGTTACGTACACAAAACTAAAACCTTTAACTTCTAAAAATTATGTTCTTAGTTACTGAAGATGGAGGGACATAACGAAAGTCCTCCAGTTTTAGTCACATGCTTAATCACTTAGAGCACTGACACAGCACCCATGGTCCTGCAATCCTAGGCATGCCAGTTCACACGAGTTTCATGACAACATGTAGTGCCCTGAATTGACTCAGTAGTCTGGAAACCATGGTCACAAAGGTCCAGAAGATCTAAGTAAGTTTTACTTAGCACACTGGAAAAATAATTCACAATACATGATCTGTGTAGCCTCAAAAGCTCTGGCCTGGATGCTGCTTGATCCAGCTGAGGGATGATACTAGAAGAGAGGAATTCTAGACACTCTGCTGGCAACGGCCTCTCAAATTCCACCCACGTTAAAACTGCTGGCTGGAAACTCGGAACTGCAGCCTTTTTATTCAGTCCATTTATATCCAACTGCTTCGCACTTTAACTAGAGCCACCCATTAACTACAAATGTTTTAATTTACCAAAACGATGACTGTGACTCAGAGAAACTTCCAGGAATATATATGTTCTGTCCTCATACCTATAGCCTCATAAACACAAAGAAAAATGTCTTAATTTTTTTTAAAAAAAAAAAGCTACTCTTATATACTTGTAATCATAGTATGTACAACACAGACCTAATTTTGGTAAAAGTGGTGTTAATATTAAAGTAAAAGAAAATGAAGCTGAAATCAACAAAGGCCATCTTCTCTACTAAAGTCCATAGAAGCCCAAAGCATTAAATACTTGAGGACACATATTTTTTCATGAGACATCATTTTAAAACATTATTTTCCAATAGTTCCCTTTATCTTGCTTTTCACTGACTGCAAAATTACCTAGATTGGCCCATTTCTAAGTTATCTTGCACAACTGTATTCAACAATCTCCTGTAAAACATAAGTGTCCAGAAAGGGGGTGGGCACCCTCCCATTTATGCCTGCATTTAGGGTTTGATGAAATGTTAATACATCAAATGTCAGCATGTTAGAACTTCACATCAACACTGTGAAATCTTCAGTGGACTATGAGAGCACAAAATAAAAATCTGTTTCTCTGAGGTATAGTCTATACATATACAGGATGAATTTTCTTCTAAAACCACAGTGCACAGCAAATCCCCATCTAATAATAAAAGAAAACACAAACACACACACACACACACACACACGAGGGGGGATGGGGAGGGAAGGAAAAAGAGAGGACCAAGAGCCAGGCACCCAAGTGGCTGCTGATGCTCCATCTTCCGTTTGTAGCGGAACAGACAAAAAGCACTAATCTTAAAGGAAACAATGCAGGATAATACATCAATCAAGACGGTGGTCACCTTTCCCTTACTGAAAACTCCTGGGACCCAACATGCTTTAGGGTTTGGTTTGGGGAGATTTGAGACTGTATTAATAGACTTTATATACAAAAAGCCCAAATCCAAAATGTTTCAAATGTGAAACTCAAGTGAGTTCCATCTGTGACAAAAGCACTAACGCTGATGCCATATTTCTTCATAAAAGTGGGTCAGGTTTCAGATCAAGGATGATCATCAGGAACCAGTGACCATCTATCGGCTCCCTGTTTGGTGCCTGGCTTTGCACTATGTACTTTATGCATTATTTGCCCTCACTAACTCCTACAAAGAATTATTTTCCTTTGTCTCAAAAGACAGAGATGCTGAGGTCTACAGAGGTCATAGTGCTACAAAGCAAGGATTCCCACCAGGGTCTATATTCTATACATTACCACTGGAGGAAGAGCATCTATGGTGCGGCAGGCACTCTGCCTCTACTGCGTTCTTCCACGGTGACTCAAAAGTTTCAAGATCATCGTCATCTTTGCTTGTGGTCCCTTCATCGGGCCCTCCATCACTCACATCTGCAGAACCCCTCACTTTAAGATGTTGTGGAGTAAGCAGCAGTACATATGGAAGGACCCAGGGATCTAAAATTCCCATCTTCTTCAGCTGGATACACCTACGGCCACTTGTCATGCCAGGGCTCTGGTTACTGTGCTCACACTACCCCCCAAGGGTCACCAGACTACAGAAAACACTCATGAATAAAAGGAATTTCTGACCAGTCATTTTATAAGGACAGTTAACATTCATTATGACAATATTAACACTCCAGCCAGCATTTGCTAAAGAGCGTTGTGTTGATTGCTATTGGTCCACTGAAGCCCTCCAGACAGCCCACGATTTAATCCCTGGGAAGTATCTAAAACCACATTTCTGGATTGCATTCATAGCTACGGTTTATTCACTGTCACTGGGTCTCATTAAAAGCCATGCTGTTTTCTCCAAGACCTATCTATGGCAGCTTCCGAGTTCCCATAGGCAGGAGCAAACTAGGGTGAGAGAAAGACTTTGTTCTTCCAAGGCAAACATTCAATCCCCAGGACACATGCAAGCAACAAAGTCTGGGTCTATGATGAACTGTTAGAAAAGAATTAGGTAAAACATAAACAAATACACTAAAATGAATATAAAAACATCCACGCATCTAAAAGGAATATTTATTACTTTCGAGTACAGGGTTACCAAAATGGCACACACACTCCTCATTGGTGAGCTTACCTTGAAGATGGCATTATAGTTGAAGCCCTGAATTTTGCTGTAAACGGATTGGTTGACTCATAATCAAAATAGTCCTGCCGATTTTCATTAAACGCAATAGGTGATTTCAAGTCACAGGGGCTATCAGGTCCCGCATTGTTAAGCCTCTCCAATCTTCGGCTATCTTTCTTCCCGGTCACTCTTTCAAAGAGGCTTACTTTCTCTCTTTTCTCTCTCTTACTCTCTTTCCTTACTTCAATCGGCTTTGAAAATAAATTCGCACTGCTGTCCCATGACTCACTGCTGTCTTCAAATGGATTCTTCTTCCTTGGCAGTGTTGCAAACTTTTGGGGTAATGAAGCAGTCACATTTATAAATGGGTCACTCTGTCTTCCAAAGGAGGGTTCTCCTTCATCCACAATGCTGCCAGGTTGGTTCAGTTTAGAAGTATCAAAGCTTAGTGTTCTTCTGTGTGGAGACTTGAGACTTCCTACAAACAGTTTTCCCCATTAGTAGGTGATGGCTGACATATGCTATTACACTATTCTGCTGCTTCAGAATGAGAACAATTAGCTAAAGATATTAACCCTCCAAATAACCAAAACAATCTTAAAATTAGGTGAGGGATACTGTGAAGTAGACAGGCTAAAAACGGTGTGTTGTGAGAAAATTGGTATCTTACTGGCTTAGAAGCCATCACATGAGAAAAGTCAGTGATCATGCTGGCAAGTATTAGACTTCCCTCTGGATACAAACATTTTCTTGAGGAACACTGAGATGGGACGGAATATATGCTGCAGTTTCTCTTGTTTTGGTTTTTGGGGTGTATGACTGCACCACCACTTGCCTTGAGAGATTGAACTCAGGTCCTCCTGCTTTCAAGGCAAGTACTTTACTAACCTAGCCAGGCTGCAAGCTTTTAAAAAACAGAAATGAAGAGAAGAAAATAATAATAATAATAATAATAACAATAATAACAACAACAACAGAGGCCAGGCCATGAGAGAAGACTAAGATTCACTTCATTATCACCTATAATATAAATACAAAGTTAAAATAGAAAGATAAACGGAGCTGAGTGCCACTCACCACTTTCTGGAACAATGCCGAAGGAATCTATCTGGCGACTGAGAAGATGCGTCGGACCTATAGCACTGGACTTCAGTTTTTCAGAAGACAAGTGGGACCCAGTTAAATCAGACATCGAGTGGGCAGAAGAGAGCCGCTGGGGACCCAAAAGAAAAGGCTTTTTCGGTTTGGATTTCATCTGTGTCTCACTGCTTGAGAGCTCAGTGTTGGCATCAGGCGTGTGTGTGCTTGGAATGACTGCAGAAGATGTATCAGAGAAGGTCCCGTCATTTTTTCTCCCTTTCATCTTATCTTTCAATTTTGCAAAAGGCGATCTCGTCTTATCCTTCATTGACAAGTCAAACATGCTTGCTGTCATATTGTTTCTCATAAACTGAATATTGACCTTTATCTCACCCCTGTTTTTGATTCTCTTTCCTTGTTTGGATTCTAATCTAAACCACCTTCAAGAGAAGAGAAAAGGTTGTTTTTAGCATATGATCGCAACAGCAAGCTGTGTTATATCCAGACAGTTTTTTAAGTAAAGTGACTATGCATTATCTACACACTGTGTAAGAACCAGCTAACCACAAATTTCTAGGTTTATTCATTGTTTAAAAAGAAAACAAATCAAACAAACAAACTGGTCCTAGTTTCTGTAGAATGACACACACCAAAGGAGAGTATGTAAAGGGTTTTAGATAAAATTTCCCCCTCATAATTCAAAAATCATCATCAAAAATTCTTATCAACAATAGCTAATTATGTTTCCATATGGGACAAGTATTACTAATGGCCTAAGGATATGTTTAACATTCAAAGACACTGAGCCAGGAACTGTAATTCATCACTTCCAATCATTTCTGAGTACCACAAAATGACAAATAATGATGACATTTAAATAAAATACTTAACCCCTTTCCCAAAATATGATTTATAGAAAAGAATTTTATTAACAATGGGAATAGTACATACTATGCTAATCATCAAAATCTCAGTACCGGTACTTACATTCATAGAGAATGGATATAAGCCTTTTCCTGAGTAAAATATGAAAAGTGAATAAAATATAAGAAGTGATAAACAATAAATCTTGTGAGGTTTTCAAAGAATAAAAAGATCAGATAATTCCTTCCAGAAACCTATTGATTCTGCAAAACAAAAAGTACTTTACAAACAAAGCCAGACTATGTCATGCTGCCAACCTGTAAGTGAACTGTATATGAAGCAGGCTTATTTTGGTTTTGTTTACAGTACTTTCACCCACAAGGAACCCTCCAGTCACTGGGGTCACTAGTGGTCACACTCTACAGGGCAGACAGCCGGAACCTGCAGCCTGTTGCCCAAATGTTTTCACATCACTTAGTGATGGAGTCTGACCCCCATTCCGAAGACGTTCTGTTATTTAAACATAGCTCTAGTAGAGTGCAGTGGATTTTACCACACAGCAACTCTGACCTAATTTTATATTACTTTTTTTTTTCTTGCTGTTTTCCAACAGGATAGCTAAAATGTGGCTGGATTTACTATACATCAACCGAGAGACTGACACCCAGGAAGGACAGAGAGCCAATACCCAACCTGTATCAGCTCCATGTTTGCTTCCTTGATGAACTGGAATGATTCAATCAATCAATACTTACCATATTGATGCCAAAACAAGCAGTCTCTTAAAATAGAACAGTTTATGATAGAATGAATTACTCTAAGACCCTGGACTAAGAAAAAGTTATACAATGGTAATATCAAGACTGAGGGTAAGAAATGGCAACAATGAACTGTAGGATGCAGGACACCAAACAATACAAACATGAGCTCTCAGAACACCTCCAAATGAGGCAAAGATATACACCCCAGAATTAGGGGTTTGGAAAAGAGAGCCGTTTTCAATGGTCTGAGAATTGCTTCTGATGGGTGATACCTGAGAAATACTCTAAAATCTCAGGCTGTGTGAAAAATGATCAAACGTTCTTTGTAAGAATGTGCCCCCGCTCAAAACAAAGTAACAAAAACATGTTATGTGGAGTTTATAATAAGTTGATAATGAGGAGAATATATCAGTGGTCCCCAAAACGGAAGGGGGGTGAAAGGTGATCAAAATTCACAGCTTTTGAAGTAAGAGCAAATGAATTATCTGCTTTAACATCCTTACTCCGGTGATAGAGAGACTGAGGTAAGGAGAATGAAAAGCCACTTCCCCAAGTCAGATGGGAGCCAATAAGGAAAACATCTAAAGCTGACGAAAAGCATCTGCAGAAAATGCAAGCGAGTCCCTGCTTGATGAAGCACGTGTGTTAATCAGGTTAACCACATGGCTGCCACACGGTAAAGAACACTGTATTTAACCAGAGAGCACAGTCTTTCCTCCAAGAGACTTAGCTCCTTGAGGATGGCTTGCTTTACACTAAAAATTCACTCTGTTTTTTTATTTAAAGAACCACCTTCATAAAATCAACAAGATTCAACTCCAAACACGCATGCCTTGCACCATTTTGGTTTTAGTACGAAACTCCAAACACCTATGAAAGCTTTAAAGAATAAAGCAATAAAACTAAATACAAATGTAAATACAATGGCTTTTTCCTTTCTCCCCATATAAAAACAAAACAACAACAAACAAAACAACACCCTGCAAAGAACTCTGATAAACACTGATTTAAAGGGCAGGCCTGACAAGTAACTTTAGTATTCTGTTTTGAAACTGATCTTAATGAGAAGAACTTCAAGAATCTTGAAATAATGTTTGTTTTCCCAGGCTTCAAAGAGACAAATGAAGACACTGCTCTTGGTAGTTGCTGGATTATTGCCTGTTCTTTCCCACCTCTGGAGTGCTGGGTTGAAATGGTATATGGCTTCTGTTCAATTTTCAGTGGGCACAGGTCCATGTCCAAAACTACCACACATGTGGGAATGATTCCCAAGCAACTGATGCTGTGTGGTCAAATATGGGACAAGACTAGCAATAAGGAGGCCAGAGGCCAGGAGCAGGAGGCAGGTGGAATGTCAACACACACACACACACACACACTAAAGTCTACACATGCCACACCTAACTCCGGGTACTCTGATTATTATTAATTTTTGAGAGCATTAAGAACAAGGACATCACCTACTTGGGTTACTTTAAAAAAAAATCAATGGATATTTCATAACTGCATCAATGATTTTCCCATTCTATTATTAAACATTGTGTTATTTCCTTAAATCCCATGCCAGAACCAACCCAGACATCTATTAAAAGAAGGCAAATGTAAAAGTTCTCTGTCTGCTCAAAGGATCTGGCTCAGGCACTTCCCCCTTCTCCTAAATGTGTGTGTGTGTGTGTGTGTGTGTGTGTGTGTGTGTGTGTGTGTGTATGTGTAAAAGTAGAAATTAAGTTAGAATGATAATTTAATTTTAAGTACGATACTTTTTGCCTCTCATGGCACAACTGGAAGACAAGATGCTAACACCCGTCTATTCACTGCCAAAAAGTACCAAGTGTCACACCCTGCAGTTCCGTGGGACATCTCAATCAGATGGTAGCCTTCATCACTCATTCTGCTTTCCCAAAATGCCCTTGGGAATATGCTGACAAGGTTTAGCAATGTGCAGAATATTAAATACCTTTCTTTTAGTACACTGGTGGCTCAAGTCTGTCTCTTACTGTGCCACATGTGCAGCTGGGCTGGAAAAGGAAGCTATTAAATATATTAAAAATCTAGAAATATTACCAATAAAGATACCTCATCAAATACACAGTTCCCATTTAGTCACCCACACAAAATATTAAGGGTTTAATACCATATGAAAATCCCTTTGTATGCAGTAACATCACAAGCTCTGTTGAGAGCATTTCAAAGCATCTCCCCTCCAAAAGCTCTCCTTGGTTTTATAGACAGAAAACGATATTAGAGATTGTTCATGGTTGAATTTATTGTAACCGTGAAGCTGCCAAAGATGGAAATAAAACAAGAAGTTTTAAAAGGCTATTTCATTCTCAGGATCTTTGTATCCACACTTGGGCCTACTTAAATTTGTGGAATTTACATTTGAGAAGTCTGTAGTATATTATCATTAATATTAAAAGTATTGTTTAAAGGACGGTAAGAAATATGAAGCCGTAGATACTTAAAAGCTCACAGTCTAACCATTTTACAAGGTATACACTAAATCACCCCAAACTGACAATTTGGGACAAATGATTTGGTTATTATTCACTTTTCATTTTAAATCTGAAGAAGAACCCTTCAGAAGAAAGCAAATGCTACTTATAAAATATCAAGAAGTTTAAAACCATTAAACACACAATTTAAACTTTTTCTCCTGTCCTCATTGAATAATTATCTTTCATCTTTCTTGTATATCTAGTGTTTTATCTTACACACACTAAATCTTAGATGAAGACTTGCTTCAAGCAAAACAAAAACAATTACTATTACATGAACTCCACTGGTAGGTTTTGCAAAAAAAAAGAAAAAAAATTCACTATTTTGAAATGTAAGAAATTAACATGAACTTAAAATTATCATTGTAAAAAAAAAAAAAAAAAAAAAAAAAGAGCTCTAAAAGGTAGATAAACCTGCATCAGGGCAGGGGTTGGGGGAAGAATGGGAAAAGTAATGAGTTCCATCCACCCTCCTCACATGAAACTCCAGCCTTCTCAATGACTTGGGACCAGAAAAGCAAGTATGTTAAAGGTTTGAGCCAAAGACCCATCTTCCCAAACATGCTACTTGTTTCAACATCCTAGGGTTGATTTGTATTTTAGTTTCTTAAGTATATCTAACTCAGGCTCCAAAGCTCTCTTTCAGAAGCTACGTTTCTATTGAAGAGGTCATTAAGTCAGTGCATCACAAGACTTTAATCACTGTCTCCAATCCTACAGCAGTTAATTCGGCCTAAACACATTGGCTTTGCCGAACTGATTCTTCAGTAAACAATACCTCCAGTATACTGCAAATTCAAAGGGAAAATGTCAGTGGGCTCAAGGCTGGAGATATTTGTGCAGAGTTCCAAAACTTTTTTTTTTCTTTCAACAACTTTCTACTCTATCAAGAAGTACTGACCCCGAAAAAATGGTGGAGCAAAAATAAAAGCCAACCGTTCACAGTGCTGAAACACTGTTCTAAAATCAGCAAAGTATCTTACTAGTAATATACCTTTTAACAGTGCTCAGCAAACAGACCGTTACATGCACAGATTTAATTTTCTGATCTTGTAGTTCATGCTCAAGGCCTCTAATAAAAAGTATTCATTTTCCTAAAATCCACTGCAATATAGTCCATTGTTTAAGAGGTGTCTACCTCATACACAAATGAGAAAAAAAAATAATGGATCATTAATAACTCCACTTTAAAAAAAAATCATTTCACAGCAAAGGCTATCTTTCTTCAAAGTCATGCAAATAGAAACTTAAAACTGGATCCTACTTCAATTCCAAAGACCCACGCCTCAAATATACTATGTCCAAGAACGGTAAATCCATATATATTTAAGCGCCCAAAGTTCAAGATAAATTATATAACTTACTCTGTTTTCCTTCTTTGTTTGTCCTCAAAGATGTCATTGAGATTGATTGCCACCTGCCCTAAAAACTTATCCAGTCCCACTAGGGACCTGTGCATCACTATGAGAAAAAGAATGTATTTCTCTGGGTTGCCCTGCATGAGCAACCCTGGCAACTCAAAGGAGGCCTCCTCCTTCCAGACAGGCTCCAGCGTTTTCTCTGCTACAGATGTAGAATACTTCTCTTTGCCCAACTGAATTATGGTGTATGTGTCATTGGTGCCACTTTTGCCTTTTGGCTTCAGATCTTTAGCTTGGAGCACCGTGACCTGCACGTGGGTTGGAAACCACTTTTGGGCTTGCTCGGACAGCATCATTCTGGAGTTTTATTTTGCTGTGTTTTTCGGTTTGGCTTTTGTTTGGGGGGTGGGGAGGGGGGAGAGGGTTGGGTTTTTTTTGTTTTTTCTCTGCACAGAGTTCAGAAGCGCAGGCAGAGCCCCTCCCGCAGGGAGAGCCCGAGGACGCCCTGATCACCGCATCCTTCCTCCAGGGCACACTTCAGGGAGCTGATGGAGGGGAGTGCGGGCTGCCCCGAGGGCCCCGAGGGCGGCTCGATCGCTCGGACGGACGGGGGTCCCTTTCTTCCGCACGAGCACCGGGGTCCGCATCACCTGGCCGCCCGCCAGCACGCACGCCCGCCCGGCCCAGGCCTCCGCGCGCAGCCGGACGCCTCGCGTCGCCACCGCCCCGAGGCCTGCGCCCCAGCGGCCCGGGCCTCCGCCCCGCGCGGCCCGGCTCCTCCTCCGACCCGGCTGATACGAACCGTCGGCCGCGGGGCCTGCCTGGCTCCCTCCGCCCGCCCGCCCGGCCTCGGCTCCTCCCCCGGCGACAGCGGCGTAGGCCTGGGCGAGCGGGGCTTGGACGGACGGGCGCGGGCGGGACGCGGGGCCGCGGCGGCGGCGCGGGGCGCGGGGCGCGGGGCGAGGCCTGGCTGGGGCGCCCGCGGCTCCTAGCGCCCGGCGCGCCGCGGCCGCGCCACTTCCGGGTTGGCCGTCTCCATGTTGAGCCGGGCTGCGCGAGGGGCGGGGCCGGGCGGGGTTGGGGGTTAGCCCCTCCCTGGTTGCCGTGACGACGCGGCGGCGGCAGGATGCGGGGTGCGGGACGCTGGAGGCCGGGATGCTCGCACTAGACTGTGGGCGTAGGCGCTGCGGTGCAGGCCTGGTGGTTGCTGGGCTGCGAGGAGGCGCTGGGCCTTGTGCAAGGCCTGCACCTGGGAGAGAACCGGTTTCCATCCTGGAAGGCAGGAATCTGCCCCAGCTCTGTGTGTGTGTGTGTGTGTGTGTGTGTGTGTGTGTGTGTCTGTGTGTGTCTGTGTGTGTCTGTGTGTGTCTCTCTGTGTGTGTGCTCTGTGCCTGGCCGGACACACACACACACACACGCAGACACACACAGAGACACACACACTCACACGCAGACACACAGGCACACATACAGAGACACACAGAGAGACACTCACACACAGACACACACACACACAGACACACACAGAGACACACACACTCACACACACACTCACACACAGAGACACACACAGACACACACACTCACACGCAGACACACAGACACACATACAGAGACACACACACACAGAGACACTCACACACAGACACACACACACACACACAGCTCTTCTTCTGTGACAGATACACGCTTCATCCAGCCATTCTCTATCAGCCATGGACAGGACACTTTCAGCTGACTAATGGGACCCTCTGAGCACAGACCAAAAGCAGAGGAAGCAGACAGATTCCAAAGCCGGCATCACTTCATAAAGATCATATGTACTCTTTGTGGTGGCGTCAGAAGATCTGGTTGTGGCCTGCAGGCCCGCTGCCATCATCCTCTGTGAACTATGAGGTCAAGTTATTTTCCTCCTTCCCTAAGTCCCTCTGTTTTTACACTGATGGATAGTCTCCAACCTATCCTGAGTACACTGTCAAAAGCATTGCCTGAGCGCACCTGAGTGCTCCTGGAGACCAAGCCCTTACTTCATGGGTGAAGAGGACTATTGTGGAATCTTAAGTAGCCCTTTCTGGCCAGCACTGTGAAATGGGCTCTGTGTCTCTATGTCCTGCTCTATTTTTCAATCTCGGGAGACCTACCTCTGTTGACTGTTTCCATCCATGTCTTCCTAGGAAAATTCTTAAGTTCTTCAGACTACATGGCGGGTAGCACGTCCAACCTGCAGCCAACGATAGCTATGGATGAGGCCAAACATATTATAACTCACATAGGCGTTATGCGATTATTTAACTACATTGTGCTGTTCTGCAGAGAGAACTTTGTAGACCGATGACAGCATCTTGTAGCAAAGTCAAAAGAATAAGCATTATTCCTAAAGGCCTTCGGAGAACTGAGCATTCAGTAGGCATGCTAGCCAATCTGTTGACTGACTAGATGCCTTCTCTCCCTTAACAGGGCTACTTTTCAGAATAAAACAGTATGATAGGTGGGGATGTGCTTTTTCCAACTTAAAATGGCCATAAACTATAAGGTACTGTGTTTATTGTTTTCAGGCAAAGTTTAAAACTTCTGTGATACAGGCGGAGTTTTTAACCCTGGGAGACAGTGTTTGAAAAGGCCATGTGTGCAGAGCAGAACAAAACCATTGCACTGCATGCATAGCATCTGGATCCCACTGTGTGCAGTTGTCAAGTTTAAAGAAAAATATTCTCAGAGATTTGTAAAGACTGGAGCAGTCAGTGGTGGAATTTCACCAGCATCTCTGGAGAGAAATAATTCGACACCTGAAACTTGCATAAAAACAAATTGAGCATCATGCAACCCAATTTAATTGGAAGTTTTATAAACTCTATTTTAAAGGCTTCACATTTCTATTATAGGTTGTAATTAAACAATAGGCAATTAATTATAATAATGTGTGTTTTTAAAGGCCTAAGATGTTCAGAAAGCTTTATTAATGTATACACTTGTTTACAAGTATCATTTCACTTATTATTGAAATACAGCCATCTCTAGGGTGTTAGTTGGCTGCAGTAGTTCACAGCAACACAATAACAGACTCCAACACACTGCAGAGAGTGCTCTAAAGGCAAGAGCTGGACAACTGATTGTTGTCTACTCTCTGTCACACCTAACATTGAGTGAAGCAAACACACAAACCGTAGGGGCCAAAGAAAGTTCAGAATTGCATTATAAAAGGGAAGTAATTTCCTAGACAGATTCCTTTTTATTGCATCACTGCATTCAAACTATAAAAGCAGGTCAGCTGAGCCAAGTACATAGTTGGCTCATATGGAAAAATAATAGTATTTACATAAGAACTGAGATCAAAGTGATCCACTGAAATGTTCAGTTTTTTATGTTTTAAAAAATATTTCTTACTTTTAAGATGTATGTTCGTAGAGTTAGTTTTAAAGATAGAAACACCATGTAAGTGAATAAGGACAACCCAGAGATAGAAGAAAGCTACTTACTTTTTTTTTTCTTTTTTTTCATTGTTGTTCTTACTAATGACATGTCCAGAAGTCTTTGGTAAAATACCAAAAACAAGGACTTGAGGTAAAGGACATATTTAATAGGAGGAAAATGTTGAGTATTCTAATTTTATACTGTTCATCACTATCCACCATGTACAGCACACACAGACACCACCACCACCACCACCAGGAGAAGAGTTCAGATGAAAACAGGACATTCTCACAAGGGACTTCATTCCAAACACAGAAGATTTTTCCCATTGAGCATCAGCATCTCTAAACTCACATTTGTGGATTTCCTGTAGTACAATTAGGAACGCTCAGTGTCTAAATAGCCCACTGGGTGCATCGTGTTAATGCTTCAGCTTGCATTATGTAATGGGTGTGTTAATAATTTTCCAGGTGGAAATGCAGAAGCCAGGGGGATGCAAGAATGTCCTGGGAATTCCTTCAGCCAATATACCCGCCCCTTCTGGGTGTGGTCTAAGGTGCTTCCTGTGGACTGCAGAAGAGGTGTTCTCCATTTCTTGTGTGGTGGTCAAAGATCTGATCTCAGCTTCCTGCACCCCCAGGACGGAAGAAACACACACACACTCACTCACTCATGATACACATTTTTAAGTAAGAAAATATTTGGCAAATTGAAGTCTAATAGCAAGGAAGTATTACCGGGAGGTTATGACGTCGTTTTGTTTCATTTTCATCATTGGGCTGATTACTCTGGTCTTGTAGTTGTAAGATCTCAGTATGTGCTACATGAGAAGCAATGTGCTATGCAGTGTGCCTATTGCTGGCTATGTCTCTTCAGTAAGAAAATCTCCTTTGAGCCATCTGTAAAATCAGAGTCTGTCCTAGAGAACACAAGGGCATCCCTCTCAGTCACAATCCCAAGTCGTCTGTGAAATCAGTCTGCCCTACTGAACACCAGAGCATCCCTCACAGTCACAACCCTAACTCATCCAACTGTAGCACCAAGAAGTAAACTGTATTTTAATTGCCTAATTGGGTGCAGAAAGTGTACTAATGCAGATTTCCTTTTTATGTAATTTATTAACCATGGATCCTCTAATTTGGAAGGAATATTTGTATATATGTATGTCTGTATATATTCAAGATGCCCTGTGTATTCTCTCCCCCAAATGAAAGCAATTAATGATCAGAGGAAGTAAGCAAATGTAATTCTTTAATTGGCCCTGCATGAAGAAATGACACCAACAGCTCAGGATTTGGAAGAAATTACATATAGGGCAAGCAGTCTTGAAAAATCTTGAACTTTTCTTGTAGGTATCAAAATAACTTCTACCATCAGCAGCTTCTTTGAGCTGTGAAAACATGCTGGGAGGGCTAGCAATTTGGGGAGCAGAGCACACATTTTCACACGAGGACATTTCTTGCAGAAGATTTTCCACTTCTTGTTTATGGTCTCAAAATACTATGTTGGACAACCTTTGCTCCCTTACCAAATAGATGCATATGAGTTCATAGACCAGGAACGTATTTACACCAACTGCTACATGGTCTCGGATAAGATGAGTGAGCCCCATTTGATCTTTTGTCCCTCCAAAGAACATTTAAGTTGTTTCCAATTTTTCGGCTGTCATAAACAATGCTGTAGATGTACAACTTGTCTCCTTATGAATGGCATAGAGAGAGGGATTTTTGTTATAATACCTCTTTTTAAAAATTATATTTAGTTATCGAGCTAGTTATTTTGTGGGGAACACACCACAGCACACACATGTAGGTGAGTGGACAGCTTGCAAGAGTTGATTCTATCTTTCTACCACGTGGGCTTCAAGGAATGAAGCCTTGCCAACATACACCTTTCCCATTGTGCCTTCATGTTTGCCCCTAATATCTCCTTCCTAACAAGGATGAAATGTGTGGATAAC